CCTGTGTAATAAACGTGCTGAGCTACCTCCGAGTCAGTCAGACTCCACCAGGGTTTGGCTACCCACCTGGCCCTAGCTTTTTCTCTCTCTGTGTGTCTGTCTGTCTTTTCTTCATCCCCCATCACCCCTGTGGGTTTCTGAACTAACGGCCGTGCTGTTGGTGGCGGTGCTGTGTAAAGAAGTCTGCTTCTTGTGCTCTCTTGCCCAGAACTCTCTTCCTCCAGCGTCTTCCCATCAACCTGCGTCTCTCTGGCCACAACCTCTCCCCAGGTCCCTCTCCCTCGGTGGAGCCCTGACCACTGCCTTCTCCTGTCTTCTGGGTCTCAGTTCCTATTAAGCCTCTGCACTCCTCCCATGTTCTGCCAGGGCCCCTCTCAGCTGCCCCTTGCCCCCGCTGTGATGGGGGCTTCCTTCCCATGATCCTCCTTCCATCCCCTCCTCCCCCGACAACTGTGGAGTTCAGAGGCGTGTGCACTGGCAGGACATCATCTCCTCGCAGGCCCCACGACCCCGTGTCTCTAAGGCTCTAAGCTGCCGAGGGTGTTAAGGCCTGGGTAGCCTCCTGTGACATGCTCACACTAGGTTGGATGGCTGCAGGCTCCCTCATGTCCCCTGAGCTTGTTGTGTCTTCAGTCTCATGACGGGAACAGCAGGGACCCCTTTAAGCAGCATCAGCTTCAAGTTGTGGCTCTGTGTTCAGGTCCTTTGGATCCTTGTGAAACTGCACCTCCCTGGGAGTCCCTGCTTCTCACCCCCTTGCCCCTTCTCGCTGTCCCCTCTCATCCCCACCATTTCCTTCTGAGAACATTCTTGGGAACTTCAAATTCTCATTGGATTTTCCAGTATTGGGATGTAATTCACATGTCACGAAATCTACCATTTAAAAGTGTCCAACAAGGTGGTTTTTAGTACATTCACCAATTGTCCCATTCTCTCTGCTATCAAATCCCAGGACATTTTCATCAGCCCCAAAGAAATGACCTTATCCTGAGCCGCCTTGACCCACTGCACCCTCCTTCAGCCCCTGGTAAGCACAGATCTACCTTCCGTCTCTCTGGATTGGCCCGTTCTGGATCTTTCATAGAAATGCAATCACACAGTGTATGGCCCCCTGCGGCTGGACCCTCCTGCTCAGCACAATGTTTATTGCAAACTATACCAGAACTTCACTAATGTTTCTGTGGGACAGTATTCTATGACATGGGCATCTTTTATTTACTCAGGGTGGACATTTGGGTTGTGTCTATTTTTTAGTTGTGAATGACGCTGCTATGAACATTTCTACGCCAGTTTTTGTGTGAATGTGTGTCTTCCGTCCTCTTGGGTGTAAACTCGGGGAGGAGTTCTGAGGAGCTGCCACATGGTTTTTAAAAGCAGCTGATCTTCCTCTGTCCTCTCCTGCAGTATGCTGTGTGCACGACCTCACTGCACTCATTTGTCATCACCCCTTCTTAGTGGGTGTGAAGTACCACCTCCCTGAGGTTTTGATTTGCACTTCCCTGATGATTAATGATAACCTGCACATTTTTATTTGCTTATCAGCCATTTGTGAATCTTCCTTAGAGAAATGTCTAAGTCATTTGCTCATTTAAAAATTGGATTACTTGTCTTTTTGTTCTTCAGTTGCAAGAGTTCCACCCGTGTTCTGAGCGACAGACACGTAGGATGCGGATGTGCGAGTATCTTCTCCATTCGGTGGGTTAACTTTGCGCTTTCCTGAGAGTGTCCTTTTGAAGCACAAAAGGTTTTGATTTTGATGAAGTTCAATTCATCTGTTTTTCCTTGATGACTTGTTTTTTTGGTGTCATGTCAAAGATACCATTGCCTAATTGGAGGTCACAAAAGTTTACATCTATGCTTTCTTTTAAGAGTTTCACTGTATTAATGTGGACATTTAGGACTTTTGATCCATTTTGAATTGATCTTTGGATTTGACCCCAACCACTCTGGCCACAAAAGCAAAAATGGACAAATGTCATTTCATCAATTAATTAAAGAAACGATGAACAGAGTGAGGAGACAGTGTCGAGTTTGGCAGAAAAATATCTGCAAGTCACACATTTGGTAAGGGGTTAATATGCAAAACACATAAAGAACTCAAAACAGGTAAACAGCCCTGTTAAAACTGGGCAATGGACTGGGTAGACCTCCTGAAAGAAGACATCCAAGTGGCCAGAAGATAGATAAAAAAGGCTCTGTACCAGTCGTCATTAGAGAAATGCAAGTTCAAACCACCATGAAATGTCACCTCACTTGTGTCAGAGGGGCGGTCCTCAAAAGGTGAAAGGTGACTAGTGGTGGCCGGGAGGTGGGAAGAGGGAACCCTGGCACACCACGGTGGGACTGTGTTAGTGCAGCCATTGTCAGCCACAGATTACAGGATGCCCCCAAACTAAACACAGCTGTCTTGGGATGGGCAATCCTGGGTGAACATCCCAAGGATCCAAAGTCAGCAGGTCAAAGGGACATCTGCACTTCCACGTTGCCTGTAGCACCGTGCACAAGAGCCAAGTAGCAGACAACCTAAGTGTCCACCAGTGGACGGGCAGATTAAGAAAATGTGGGAGGTACACACAGTGGAATACTGTCTTAAAACAGAGGGAAATTCCATCATTTGCAGAAGCAGGGAGGACATTATGCTAAGTGAAAGAAGCCAGGCACAGAAAGACAAAGGCCACAGCTCCTGCCTGGATGTGGACTCCAAAACCCTTGGCTTCCTGGAAGCAGGACTAGGAGGGCCGTTAGCAGGGTCTGGAGGGGTGGGGCGTGTAGTGAGGGTGCAGAGCTTCAGTTAGATGGAAGGAATAGGTTCGGGATTGTAAAATACGGCAAACTGGTCAACGGAATGCTGTATATTTTAAAATTGCTAAGAGTAGATTTCAAATATTCTTACCATAAAAATAAGTATTTGAGATGACGGATATGATTATTAGCTTGATTTAATCATCCTCCATTTTATATACATATCATAACATTGCTTTGCATCCATAGAAAAATACACTTGTAATTTGTCAATTTACACTGAAAAATATGACATAAACTATGGATTTTTGTAGAAGACCTTCATCAGGTAAAGAAAGCTCCTTTCTATTCCTGTTTGTTCAGTGTCTCTATCATGAAAGACTGTTGGATTTTGTTAAGTGTTTTATCTGTGTCTGACCATGTGGTTTGGGTACTTTACGCTGTTAATAGGTGTTTTACATTGACTGACTTTCCTGTCAATCAGCCCTGTGCTCCCGGGGTAAATTCACTTGGTTGTGGTGCCCAATCCTTTACATATACTGCTTTGGATTCAGTTTGCTGGTATTTTGTTGAGTATTTAAAAATCTATATTCATAAGAGGTATTGGTTGTATAATTTTTCTTTTCTGGCAATATCTTTTGTCTTGATATCAGGGAAATACTGACCTTAGCCTAGATTCAGAAGTGTTTCCTCTTATTTTTTTTTATGCAATTTGTGAAGTACTGGTGTTTTTCACTATAGTTTGCAGAAAAATTTAACTAAAATATAAAGAGGCAAGTGAGAAGGAACTTTTCTCATCTGTTCTTCTAGATGTTGTTATCCTCATGTGATGCCTGGGTTTATGGCAGCCTCCTTGGGCACAGGAGGGCAGCGATTCCAAGTCAACAACAAAAGGATGGCAAAGCAGAAAGAAGGAAAGGACCCATGTTCTTTGTGAGAAATTCAATAACTCTTCAACCTTTCTGTCTCCAGACTTCTTATTCTTCATCCATCCCTCCTCACTCCTCCTCTTCCTCCTCCCCTTTTTTCTTCTCTTCCTCCTCCTCCTTTCGTCTTTTCTTCCTTTTTGGAGGTCTGGAGATTGAACCTCGGGGTACTTTAGCACTGAGTTACATCCCCAGTCCTTTTTATTTATTTTTAAATTGTGAAACAGGGTCTCACCTAGTTGCTGAGGGTGGCCTTGAACTTGCGATCTTCCTGCCTCAGCCTCTTCGGTCACTGGGATGACAGGGGGGGCCAACAAGCCCGGCCCCAAAACTCCTTTGGGAAGGAACGGGCCCCCTTAAGGCCTGAAAAACCCTTGGGTAAGGTTTCAAGGAAAAGCAGCTGAAGGCAGACGTCCGGTGGTTGTCGTCACCAGCTCCTTTGCTGTAGAAGCACCCTGTCGTCTTCGTCCTCTTCTCTTTTCATGGCATCTTGCCTGAGGTCGCCAATTGTGCCTGTGGAAAAGCATCCTGCAGGGGCTCAATGGCTGCTAGCGCCTATGTAAAGTAAACCAAGCACAGCCTCAAGGTGACATGGGACACAGCTTGCTGGCGCCCTTCAGGCTGCCCCAAGCACTGAAAACCCTCTGTGGGTTAACGTCTTGGCCCTGTGTGAAGGAGGCTAAAATGAAGGATAGACAGGGACAGAGAGCCTGAATCATAACTGACACGGAAACCTTGTGGCTTAGTCCAGGGTCTCCAGAGGGACAGAACCAGTAGGATTCTGAGATGGCTCCCTATTTCTGCTCTCGTGGGCACACCCTCTACAGTCCTCCCTCGCTCTCTGCAAGAAATTGGTTACAGGACGCCCCGTGAACACCAAAATCCCGCACGCTCAAGTCTCTTCTATAAGATGGTGAGACACTTACATATCAGGTATCCTCCTGTATACTTTAAGTCATCTCTAGATGATTTATAATATTTTAGACCACGTAAATGCTGTGTAAATACTTGTTATGCTGTATCGCTTAGGAAATAATGACAAGAAAAGGTCTGTCTCTATTCAGTGCAGATGCGATTCTTGTTTCAAATACTTTGATGCATGTTTATCTGGATCCTTGTATGTGGAACTCACAGATCCCGAGGGCCAACTGTATAATCCCCCTCTCATCTTAAGTGTGGATGGAACTATGAATCTATTGTGGGATAAAAATAAAGCAGCTTTTCAGGTCTGATTAAGGTTCTAAGTCACCTGGCTTTAATCAAGAGAAAGATGATCCTGCACGGGCCTGGCCTACCAGGTGGGCCCTTAGCTGGACTCGATCCTCCCTGCAGATAGACTTGAAGTTTGAGGGGCCTGCTGAGGGGACCAGGAGCCGGGCACTTGAGAGCAACCTCTAGGAACTGAGTGTGGTCTCTGGCTGACCAGGGTCCCAAGCTACCAGCTGGCACTAAAATGAGGACCTGAGTCACATGGTTTCAGGGAAGTGAATCCTGCCAACAACCATGGATCTGTCCCAAGTTGAGCCTCCAAATGGAGATGCACCTGGATGGTGAGTTGGTTTCAGCCCTTTGAGATTCTGAGCAGAGAACTCAGTTCAAATGTGCGGGATCCTGGCCTACAGAAACGGGGAGGGAACAATGGGGGTTGCTTTAAGCTGTTAGTAGCAAATGAATGCAGTAATATTTCAAGTATTGCTCCTTTATATTAGAAAAATATGATAATAATTAGAAAAGAAATTGTGAGAAGTCATGTTTGATAGCTCAGGAAATGACAGATCAAATGCCCCCAGCAAATTGCCTTTTCTCTTTTCCCCATGAGAGCTACATTCCCAACTTTTTGTTGTTGCTGTTGGTTTTGTTTTTGTGATCCTCTTGCCTCAGCCTCTCAAGTAGCTGGAATTACAGGTGTGAACCATTGTTCCCTGCTACATTTCGACACTTCAGATGGACACTTTCTCATGGACAAGGGCTGGATTGGGAGAGTTAAGGGATGCATGTTTGTCTTCCTCCTGACAGTTGGCCACATGTGGTCAGCCCTTGGGAGGCCAGTGCATGTCTCATGGGTCCTTGCTCTGGTCCTGGGACAACCTTGGTCAGTGGAAACCACAATTGCCCCTGCCTTGTATGGATTCTGAGTTCCTTCTGTTGAAACATCTATTCCAGACAACATCAAGGTAAGGAGAGCCATGGTGTTGGGAGAGATTGCTTTGAAAAATGAAACCTATATCTGTTTGGTATTTTTTTCTTCTACAGCATGTGTGGTAACTATTTCTTGAAACCTTATTGCTCCAGGAAAGGATTCAGGCAGATCCTGTCTGCTGGGTAGAGCCTCCTGTCCTGTTAGAAGTTTGAACATAATTCAAGTTGTTAGTATAGAGATCATGTCTTATCTATAGATTATTAAACTATTTTTACAAAGTGATTTAAAAAATGATCTAAACTGCTGACCTCTTATTAACCTTATTTAAGAAGTTTCTGAGCTGTTTTTTAATGTTACTGATTTATACAGAACAATTTTATTTTTCTTTCTTTGGCTTTTGATGGGATCAGAGATAGTTGCTTATGTTTCTAGCTTGGGAGACAAAGAAAAACAAGACGCACTTTTTTTGTTGTTGTTGCATTGACAACGAAAATGAGAATCAGATGGAGTTTTTTTTTTTTTCAAATTAAAAAAAAATGTCCAGTCATTTGTACAAATGGTTTAAAAGCCTTGAGATTTTAGGACTATGTACTTGCAATTATTCTCCTTTAATAATTAATTACTAATATGTTTTAATCACTGAGAACATTGTTTTGATCATTAAGAATTTACAATGTAAAGATTATTTCAAGGTCAAATTTCAAATGTTAATCATTTTAACCTAATGCATGTAAATCTCTACTGAATTCAGCTTAAAAATAAAAAGTAAATCATTAATTCAAACTGGCATTCTTACTGGAAATTGTCTTTTATTATTCTCTGCTGTGGTTCAAGGTCATTTCTTTAATCAAACCTCAGAGTTGGATATAGTCATTGGAAGCAAAAATCATTCTTCTCCTTCTCTTTCTTTCCCTAAAAATACAACTCTCATGGGAGATCTCTTCCAACTTTCTTTTTCTCTTAATAGTTCTCATCTCATCTTTAATTATTGCTGCTGCTCTTAGGCATTTTTAAAATCATTTTTAGTATCGAGGGCAGTTTGTGTCGCTGGGCACAAGCCACTTAGAAATCAGGCAGCTTCACTTGCTTCAAGTGAAGTGGAAATCTTCACGGGCAGCCTTTCCCATAGCTGTGTCTGACCACGGCCATGTGAAGTGTGGATGGCAAGCATGGGTCTAGAGTGGTCCCCTGGCCTTGGGTCCTGGTGTCCCACTTATTAGTTCTTATTAGTTCTGTCCATGGAATATGCACCCTGTGCTCCCACCTCCTCATCTGTAGAGCAGGGACATACAGACAGCGGTGACAGAGTCCTGTAGTGGGGACTGCAGGGAGATCAGTGCCCAGTCGATGCTGACAGCTTTGCAGGGTCCTCGGTTTAACCTACACTAATGAGAAAATGTAATTCCCACTGGGGATTGGAGGAATATGTGGCTTTTAGTCTCATCCAATTTAAATTTTAGTCTTATTCAATTTAAGTTAAAAAAACCCAACAGAATTAAATTCGTTCCTTCAGACAAATTTAAAGAGAAATTTGCTCCGATGGCCTTGCCTGGTGTCGTCCCTGTGTGGCTTTTTGGGGTGTGAGCAGCGGGTTGTGTGTTTGCTCGTCTTCCCCAGGCTGCCTCCCCTGCCACAGCCGCCTCCCCTTTTCCTGGAGGGCTATTCTCCCCAGTGGAGGCCTGAAGCACATGGCCAGAACCCCACCTGCATGTGCTGTTTTTCTTATGCATATATACCCATGATAAAATCTGCTTCACAAATTAGGTACAGCAAAAGAGAACAATTATAACCATATCCTGGAGTAAGTTATGTGAATGTGTCCTCTCTTCCATTATTAGGTAAAATGAGGTCCTCTGAAGAGAAGCACCGCTGCAGATACTGCCAAAGTCGAGATATCTACTAACTGAGTCACAGCCAAACAGTGTGGCTACTCTGGACAGGGGACGGTTCCTGTCCTGGGTAGGACAGAGTGGGATGTTAAGAGATGGCATCATACACTAGGATTGGTGTACCATCTAAAACTTACAAATTGTTTAGTTCTGGAATTTTCCATTTATTATTTCTGGACTGTGACTGATGACGGGATGCAGGATGCGAAACCTTGGCTAAGAGGGACACTGCTGTAGTGGGTTCTTCGGGTTTAGGAACTATTCCTGGGTCAGGTCTGCTCTCTCTCCCTTGGTGCTGTTTGCTGCCAGAATACCCCTGAACCTCCTTCTCACCTGGCCCCAGGCCAGGGGGCCGCACCGCTGGGGAGTTCCGAGGCCTGCTGGCTCTCAGCCCCAGGGGATCACCTGGAGAGGTCCAGAACAGCTGACCTTCGAGTCTTCCTTTGAAATGGACATGGTTTTTGAGCTTCCAGATCTACTAGGATGTGTTCCTGCTGGTTTGGAATATGGGCAGCCTGTCAGGTGGCTGTTTCCATAGCCTGACACAGGTATTAAGGCCAGAGAACTCTGTCCTGGATATCTTCACCTGGAAACTGGGTCATCTTGACCTGGCTCTGAGCTTCCTTTTCCTTACCACACTTCACTCAGAACCGGAAAGGGGCAGGGCCTCCCTTGTGAAAACTCATGGTTTAGTCCTAACAAACCTGGTGTTCAACAGGGAGGATGAGGAAGGCTGGGCAGCCTTCCTCAGGTGGACAGCTCTTGCTGCAAAATCATTCTCTCAAATGCAGGAAGGTAAATATCCCCTGGGTCTGTGTCCTCACATTCCTCACCCTTTAATCCTCACCTGTCTCCTTGGCAGAAGGATGTCTCCAGGATCACCACAAGGAGAAAAGCAAAAGAAAAAGCTTTGTAATGTGGCAATGCATCCCCAGGACCCAGCACAGTTTCAGTTCAAAACCCAGTGAACATCGGTAATCAGTGATGATGATTGACATCCTCAGAGTTCTCTATAAACTAATATGCACAGTCATGTGTCACATAACAACATTTTGGTCAATAATGGATGGACCGTGTATTGATGGTGATCTCAGAAGACTATATCACATAGTGACATCATAGCCGTCTCAGTTTGTCTAAGTGCATTCCTATGAAGTTCACCCAATGATGGAATTGAGTAACGACACATTTCTTCCATTCCCCATAGTCAAGTGACACATGACTCTATGTATACCTCTATGTATAGCTTACCAGCAATTCACAGTGGATATCAAATGGATATTTTTTCCATGAAGAAATTGTAAAACCTTTGTTAGTTGTGAAGTAAGTAACTCTTTGAAGCCGAGAGAAAAGAGCTTTCCACTTTTCTTCAAGAAGATCAAAGTTAGAGGAATAAATACTCAGTCAAAGCAAAAATTGTATTGCCATAGGTTCCTGTCATAGGAGAGAAAGGCCAGTACTGGGGAGACTCTGCTGAAACAAAGAGCAGGAGCGGTTTTGAAGGAATAGGGTGAACTTGTGAAAAACAACAAGAGGATGGTGGTGGGCAGGTTGACCAATAGGATGAATAGAATACAGTGTTATTTCCTGAGTTTGCAAATGTTTTTCTCCATGTTCAGGCCATTGTGTTTGCTAATTGGCACCCATAAGGTTTTCCTGCCTTCCCAGAAAGACCAGAAGGTAGGGCATTATTTTCCTTGATAATTACATTTCAAAAGGGATGGCTTCCATTGACTTGATAAAGAATCGCTGGGTTGTAAAATTGTCTAGAGGCTCCAAAAAAAAAAAAAAAGATTTGCATATTTCAAAATGACAGAGAATTTACAATTATAAGTTTTCTAAAGGACATGTTCTAAGAAACAGAGATTGGGGCCAGGAGTTAGGAATGAGCCTGTCTGAAGTCTGTTCAGGCTGGGGCACTCTTAACCCTGTCATGGTCACTCGCCATCAAATGAACATGTGGCTTCCTCTCTCGAGTTTGGTATGAATACAGAGTTTCACACTGCCCACTACTACCTGTAAAGGTACATATTTTATCATCTGGATATGAAATGAATGTCTAAGAGTTTCTGATTGTGTGGAAGCCCCTTTTAATTATATTAGATAGTAGAGATTAGAGATAGCATCAGTCTTTCCCATGAACGCAGTGTCTTTTACATATTTACTTCCTTTCTGAAGTTACCTACCATGGCATTAGTCATAGGAGACCGTAGCTGATGTTTCTATATTTTGCTCTGCGGGTCAATCATTTGGGAACAGTAATCAGAAAAGACACTGGAGAGTGTAGGGTCGGTGGAAGTCCTTCCATCCCTCAGTGTCACTGGCGGGAAGCACTCCACCATGGTTTTTCCCTTGAGAGGAGTGTTAAAAGTGAGTGTTTTCCCAGTTCTGAAGCCATGATCAGCCAAATTAGGCACTTGGTGGTAAAAACATCCTAAGTATGCAAATCTTTTCTATAGACAGCTTGTGCTGTGGTCCTTCTTCTGTTTCCCTCCCGGCTGGACACTTTCCTCCTCTCATCCTACTCTGCTTATAATTGCTAGCAGATCATCACCATAGCTCTCCAGCACTGGAGAAGTTCAGAAAGGAGACCTCCACAGAGGTTGGACATGTTGGGTTAAAGCACAGTTGTACAAAAAATCCCACAACCGTGGGCTTCTACGTCACGTACAACCAGAAGAGTGAGAAATTATACTCCATTTATATATGATGTAACAAAGTGCATTCTACTGTCATGTATAATTAGCACAAATTTTAAAAATTAAAAAAAAGAAAGAAAAGAAAGTAGCCTGATGCTAGAAGGAAAGAGAAACTAATAGTGAAAAGATGAACGGAAATCTGAGCCGATGGTATTGTTTAGGCTAAGAAGACACCAGCACATTTTCACTTTGATGGTGTCAGATCTGGGGTGGCTGACAGAAATGTTGTGAGCTGCCAAAAACGCTGGGCACGTTGAAGTTCAGAAAAAAATCTATCAGTCGGGGTTAATTAATCTGTCTGAATTGGTAGCATCCATATAGTTTAACACAATTTAGGATTGTTTCCAGGACCATTCCTTTAAAACTGTCTCTTGGCTACATGATCCTATTTGCAAAACAGATATTTGCCAGCCCTCCTGGAGTTTCATACAAATACCTTGACGAAGAAAAATGAGGAGTACCAAGGCCAATAATGGTTTAGCACCAGAAACCATAAATCCCCATCAGCTGGTCCCATTTGATGAATTGGACACATATTATACATCTTGGATTAAGTGCCTTCCGAATTATGGGCTCATGGTTTATTTAAATAGTAACTGTTATTAAGTTTAGCAGCAGCAGTGGTTTTTTCAGATCATAAGGATGTTAAAGTGAAAAACCCTCGTTTCTTATTTATTAAATGCTATATCTACATTGTTCCCCATCAGAAGCTAACTACAGGTGGTTTCAAAGGTACATATTTTATCATCTGGATATGAAATGAATGTCTAAGAGTTTCTGATTGTGTGGAAGCCCCTTTTAATTATACTAGAAAGTAGAGATTAGAGATAGCATCAGTCCTTCCCATGAATGCAGTGTCTTTTACATATTCAGTTTATAGTTCATTATTTCAGGGTCATTTGCATATCTTGATGTTATAGTTCAGGTTATAACAGGGTAATTTAAACTCCTCCCCCATTCTACAGAGTTCTAATGATTGATTCTGTAATGTTTCTGGGATGTTCTTTATTATGGGCTGCATTGTGTTGTCCCTAAAACTTACATGTTGAAGTCCTAAACCCCCAATGTGACTGTATTTGGGGTTGGAGACATACTGAGATAATAAGTTAAATGAGGTCACCCTTGTGACCTCATTTAACTTATTAAATGGGTGGGGCTCTTATTCATATATGACTGGTCACAAGGGAGAGACACCAGGTGCACAGGCGCAGAGGGATGCCCTTGTGAAGACACAGTGGGAAGGTGGCCACCTGCAAGCCCTGGAGAGCATCCTTGGGAGAAGCCAACACTGCCAACACCTTGATCTTGGACTTCACTCCTCAGAGCTATGAGAAAGTCGGTGACTGTTGTTAAACTGCCCAACCCCATGACATCTGGCTGTGGTGGCCCTCACAAACTAACAGATGTCCTAAGACAATAAGTGTTGGACCTGGGCTTAAAATTCAAGGACTCAGAAAATGCCCCCAACAGATCAAAGCCACTCTGCAAATACTCAACACTTATCCCACTGAAAACATCTTTTCCTTTTAGTAATTTGTATCTGAATAATAAAATGTTGCTAGAAATTGAATTATCAAAGTGAGTCTGTGAAGGTCAAGAAGACTTTTGGCTTCTAAGGCAGGTGAATCAACTCTAGTACTCTTAGCCTCCAAGACTCTCCCGGGGTCCCCATCGGTCCTTAGTAACAGCTGTGTTGATCGGATAAAGAAGTGCTCTTAAATGATGATGATTCCTAACAGACAGAGAAAAATTAGAAGGTTGGGGGTTCAGCTCAGTTGTAAAGGACGTGCTTGGGAGGCCCTGAGTTCCATGCATGCCCAGACCCAAAACCCAAACCAAACCAAAACCAGAACCACCACACTGTAGCATTGACTGGATCCTCTTCTTCTTCTTCTTTTTTTAAATATATTTTTTTAGTTGTAGATGGATACAATATCTTTATTTATTTCTATTTTTAAGTAGTGCTGAGGATCAAACCCAGTGCCTCACACGTGTGAGGCAAGCCCTCTACCACCGAGCTACAGCCCTAGCCCTAGCACTTCTTTTTTAAAAAAATTAATTAATTCTAATTAGGTATATATGACAATAAAATACGTTTTGATTCGTTGTACACAATATCATGCTAAACAAAGTAAGCCAATCCCCCAAAACCAAAGGGCGAATGTTCTCTCTGATAAGTGAATGCTGATCCATAATGGTGGGGTGCAGGAATGGGAAAAATGGAGGAACTGTGATTGGTCAAAGGGAAGGGAGAGGCATGGAGCGGGTATGGGGGCTCAAAAGATGGTGGAATGAGATGGACATCATTACCCTAGGTACGTGTATGACTGCACATATCCCATTGTGTTCATATATAACATTATAGTTACCTATCATTTGATGTACACTGGAGTTGTTTCCACCTCTTGGCTATCATAAGTGATGACTTTCTTATGCTTTTAGTCTA